CATTCGTGCTTACTCTTGCAGTCTCATTCACATCCCTTCCCCTCGCCTATAACTAAACACTCAAAAGGAGCGCATCAAACATTCTAAATTACCAAGTACATTTGAGCTTTTTATTGGCCTCTTAAGTCTCTCATCACGCCCATTATTCTTCATAGGTTGAAATCTGCATTGGTATGATTGCGTTGTGATTACATACAGGCTAAAAAGCCCCAATGATTGTCCTGCATTGCTCTCCATGGGCAGCCCTGATTTCTCTCCCACTGCAGCTGAATCAGTGCAGCTCCACAGTCATCATACCCTGCAGATGTAACTTGTATTGACATGCTGAGTGAAATTGTCAATTAAGACACAGCTGGTATCTGGGATGCTTATGCTATACCACCAGTATTCTAGCATTCTGGTTTATACCACATTCATTAATATCCTAGGACCTTGTGGGTTAGAGGTTCACTGAAAGGTTACAAATATGAATGTTTTCAAAGCAATTCTAAGCTTGAATGCAAGGCATCTAGGCCATCAAGCCCAATATTAAGGTTCTTACGGACAGTTCCCAAACACATTAACAAAGCCCTTTGCCACCATGCAAGATAGTCCAAGCTTTCTCATGCACTTCACAAAGTTCATTCAAGTGTTCTGGACTGGGTTTGATGTTGCTGAGTTCCACATTTTGCAGACTGGATTTGAGACTGAGATGCAGGCACTAAGAAAACAAAGTATGTGATCAGATATGTAACTAAGGGACCATCCAAAGCAAAAATCAGGACATCCGTCATGTTGCTCTATAAATATGGAGAAGTTCACAAAAAAAGTCTTTGGATCAAAGCTATCAGAAGCAGAAAAGCAGTGATATCAGGTTTAATACAACAGTAGTAGAATAGCAAAGAGGAACAGGAAGAACTATCAGCTCTTAGCGTAAAGTATGGCAGCATCTTCAGAATTTGGAATGCCTGGGATTGGAACCTTTTTTCTTTTTTTTTTTTTGAGACATTTGATTTAGAAGCCAGAGTTTGGTCAGCTATTTCTAGAGAATTGGAGTTTATAACTCTATTCACCCATCCCTTTCACGGATCAGCATTCTTGCCACTAAATCTACACAGTGCAGGCATTGAGTTTGATTGCCCTTTTTTAAAAAAAATATTATTTCCCTCTATGTGGCTCCTACCTTCATACTGGTCCCTCCCTAAATCTCAGAGTATCCAAAGCTCACGAGCAAACTAAAAGGTGTGCAAGAAGACCACTGATGAAAATGCGACTGAGTGGAAATAGCAGGAAACGAGGTTTCCTTTAGGCAACCCAGTGAAAGTGACTGTAGCAAAAAATAAAATAAAAAAATCAGATCTTCTCCCTTGCGTATGGCATTGCAAAATTTGCTGAGCTGTCAAGATTCCCAGGAATGAGACTGTGCCCCTGCCATGCAGGAAGTAGAGCTGTAAGCCTTGGCAATTATTTGCGTATTTCCATGCAAACTATAAAATAATTTCACGTTGAAGAAGTAATCTTGAGTTTTTGTTTTGTTTTGTTCAATTTAGTCACTATTTGTGCCAACATAAAAGCAGGAGAGCAGAGATCCTTAGAAAAAGAAATGTCCTTCTGCAGAACTGCCCTCTAATCTCCTTTTTAATCCATCAAAACGATGTCAGCTGAGGTCCCAACTGCCATCAGCAGCGGATTTTAGGCAACGTTCAACCTGATGGGACAGTTGTTTTTTGTACAATATCTCACTCAGCAAGGAGATTCATGCTGAGTCTCTGATCAGAATTTCCAGGGAGATGCTTGCTTCAAAACCAATGTGCTTTGCACAGGAGATCCTCCATAATAGTTGGTAAAGAAGTAAGGGATACATCATACGTTACCAATCAAGTCTTCTCAGAGAAAAGGGTTCATACTGCTTTGTGAAGCTAATGGTGGTGGGATCGAGCCAGAGAGGGGTAGGAGAGGTTGAGGCAAGTTGCTAGGTAGCTCTGGAAAAGGCCCTGCTCCAGCCTGAGGGAAGGCACTCACAGAGGCTGGGAGAGTCATTGTTGAAGGGATGCTACTGAGTGGTAGAGGGAGAGAAGCACTGTAGGTCATAGAGTTCATTGGCATCCCCATAGGAACACTAGGCACTGGGGAGTTGGTCCGCATCTGATTGAGAGTTGGTTTGGGCTGATCAACATTAAACGGATTGGTAGGTGAGGGGGCACTGAGTCCTAGAGGGGGGAAAAAAAGAAAGAAAAACATGACTCAATTAAGAATTACTGTGAGAAATCGAGGAAGTTAATTCCTGTCCCCACCATCAAAGAATTCTGCAAAAGAAATTGACAGGTTCCAAAGAAAGCCCACTATTTTCTTTATTGTCAAATAAGAAATATGTGAAGAGGCATCTCATCACTATTTCCAAAGGGCAATATTTCCCCACAGGTTCCAAGGATATTTGGTTTCAGGAACTGAAATACCAACAGGCTCAAGCAAAAGCAGAAGCCACAAACATTACTTCATCCAAAGGCAAATATAGGTATTCTGAATTTTGGGGCAAGTATAAAGAAATGGGCCCAATAAAAAAAGGGGAACAAAGAAGTAAAGTGTGGCAGGGCCTGGGTACAAGATTGAGTCACACAAAACTGTCCTGCTAACAAGAGTCCATAGGGTTCCTTTACACTTCTGTACAACCTACCTGCCAGAAATGGATTACGGGACTTCACGCTCTGTGGGACTGTAACCAAGGAGTCCAAGTTAACCAACGAAGAGGCGCTGGGGCCAAGAAAGGTCTCTGGTGCTTTATTGTCCTTCTCCTTTGAATCGGGTAAAGAATCTCCTAAACTTGCAATATCAAAAATATCTTTACTTTGAATTCCATTCTCGGCGGCGCTTGGAATAAGTTCACCAAACAGATCCACATCTACCAGTGAGAAAGAAGAGATTTTACTTTATTGATCAAATAGACTCATAGCTTGCCCCTACTTCCTTTTGCTTCTTCATTAGTTACCCAGTTTTGAAAAGGATGATTTCAGAATTCTGAATATATATGGATTCTGCATTTATATTCAGGATATGCTGTGTTGAGCATGTGCATGTGTATATGTATGTATACCCATTTCTGAAGAGTATGGTTAATCAAAACAAACAAACGAAAACCCAAACAAAGCTAAAAAGCCTAGGTATTCTTTTAAAGTGTCAGGCTTCATATAGAGCCATGGCAAAATTGGCACAATGCCCCAAAGAAGGGGCACAATGTTTTAAGTGTCGGATCTATGTCATCAGTGAAAGAGACCCAACTTCATTCTGGGTCATAGGAAGACTAATAGAAAGAAAATCAGAAAGCATATGCCACAATGTACATGAGGAAATATGTGTTCTAAATTGTAAATAAATTGTTTGCTGGAATTACTGTAACCTCTACGTTTCATCTCAATAAACCTTGCTAAAGAATGTTCTTTTTAGGACTCATGCTTGTTTTAAAATTCATGCTGGTTTTAGGCAGCTGGCAAAGAAATAAAAATTTACAGTGTAAAATTGCACTGCCACCATCCCAAAATGGTGAACTTGGAAGGAATTCTTACACTGTGGTTATCTCCTCTCTTAGTGTTTTTTCTCTGATAACATCATATTTTAAATGTGTAACTGTATTGTATTCTATCATTCATTCAGAAAACAAATTATTTTCAAACAGTGAAAATTAAAGTTGTTTCTGTTTGTCAGTACATCAATAGAACAATGTTTATTTACAAAATGATATTTTTACTGTTTCACAACAGTGTCTTCTATTATTTTGTCATCTCTTCAATATATTGGAAATGTCCCTTTTTCCTATCATTCGTCTGCTACATTTCTCCTCTCTAATCTTCTGCTTCTCCTTCCTAGTTACCTTTTCACCTACATTTTAGATAAGATTCTGCTTTATCAAGAATGAGCTATTATTTTATCACATGACTGTTAATGTCAATAAATCAAAAGTTTTACTAATTCTGTACATTCTCTTTTAGCAAATAAGTTTAAATTAAAATAGGATGGGGGGTTTTCACTTTTATATCCCCTGATCAAACTGGAATTGTGGTTCAGAGAAATGTAGTTGACTTTATTGGAAGACCTTTAAACCTATTACGCTAAGTATATAAATATCTCAGTTACAATGTTTCATACAAACATTTCTAATATATTTGATATGATTAAACGGAACTTTCTGTGCAAACTTTTATGTGCCATAGTTCTGATTATACATTTGTAAATAAACAACTATATTTGTCTCTTAAGATAGTTCTTAAGAAGTAATATTAATTAATATTGCAGGAATAAAATTGGGATGTCTTTTCATTCTTGTTTATAATTGAACTATTAGCAGATATTAATTATTACAGTGATGTTCAAGTACTAAGGGTTAAAAACCATAAGGTTTTTGCTTAATATGTTTACTGATGCCATAGCAATTTTATTCAGTCACCGTGCTGGGATATTCCCAGTTAATAAAGCAACTTAACCAAGTGGCAAAAGCAGAATTTAATATGGGAAGTCCAACAATTATAATAATCATCACTAACAGTAATTGTACAAGTATGCTTGAGGACTTCTGACCTATGGGACAGATTCTTGAAAATTGTTCTTACAAAGATATAAGCCAGCTAAGGAAAATAAACTCAGAGCCACTGTTCTTAAACACTAAGCAAATCTTGTACTCCTAAAAAAACACCTAACGTTACTCTGGCTTGGCAAAATTGCAACTTTCAAAGTGACATTATCAGAATTACTTTTGTTTCAAAAATTTCCCATTTGACTTGTATCACATTGGTCCCAGTGTTGGAAAAACAATTTATCACTACTATTCATTTGAGGAAGAAATCTAGCAAGCAATATTGTGTAACTATAAAAGTGAAGAGGGCTGAGAATAATAAAGTTGAAATAGTACAGTTTTATGATTGCTAAGCTACATCAATTAATACCCACAATTACTACCGTTCTGTGTTCAGTGTGTTCAAATAAAACTGGCTTTGGAATCATCAGAAATTCATCCAATAATTCAGGATTTAACAGAAACATTGCTACTGGGGTATTTATATACTTGGCATACATAAATCAATTCTATCCTAAACTAATTCTGCAAAAATGTTATTGTGTATTATCGCTCTCTGTCCAAAATCAAAGTTAACTATTTGGCTTGGACAGAAAAAATATAAGCACCTGGGCAAAGTCCCTTTTGCTACCTTTCTTAAAATATATAACTTTTAAATACAAAATGAGCATGATCAGCAAAAAGAATAAGAATACAACCTATGCACACTTGGGAGACATATCATTAATGCTTGTTCTATATCAGTTTGAGTTATCTTATAAAATGGAAACTGGAAAATATTTGGTTCTGTTCTCATATTGAAATAGTTCCAGTCAGAATTTTTATTTAAACAGCCCTTCCATTTCCCTTTTGCAGAATTTATGTTAAGTTCAGGCAATGTATGTGATTAGAAGTCTTAAAAAATTAAAAGCAGTTCCATTACATATGAAACAGATGCTCTAAACTTTATCAAAATAATTTGAGTAAGTAATTTAGGAAAAGAAACAGAAGGAGCTGAGTGGAATGCCATCTGGCCCAAACTATCTTTTAATGCCAGTGCATAGATGGTAGTTTACATTTTATATATATATATATATATATATGGATTGTATTTATTATTGGACTCTGGCTGCTTCTTTTCATTTAGGAAGGTCCTTAGGTCATTCTGTTCTAAAGCATTTGCCAAAGTGCCTAATATAGCATAGCAACATGTTAAGATTGATCTACTACCGAGATTTTTATAAATACTGGAGCCTGCCCACCAATTCCTTACAATAATTAATTAAATAATCTGTTATTACTGATAGGCTCATGGTTCCTTGATAGGAAATGGAGAGAGGAATTTGCCTGACTATTATCTCAAAATATGGGGCACTTGCATTGATGGAAAGATCCAATAGCACTCATCCTGCCAGAACTGTTTTAAATCTAATTTCCCTTTATACAAGAAAAATCAACTTGGCCCCTTTCCCCAAGTAGCAGTAAGATTCCATTCCTCCAAATGCATCACTGGGAGATTTTAAAAAGCTTCTTGCAGCACGCAGGGAATCAGAAGTGCACAAAATGGAAGATAAGAGCTAAACTAGTTCTAGAGGGAGAAGTGTGACTGAAGACTGATTCCAGCATACTTGTCTGAGTATGGGGATATCTTGTGAAATAAAAACTAGGATGGAACTACTTCTGGTTGTGACAGCATCCCCCTTCTCTGACCTCAAAGAAGGATTGGAGCTGTTTAAATGAAAGACCTGAGAAAATTCCAGGGATACAACTGAACCGGGAAGGTAAAAAATAACATTAAAAAAGCGTACATAAAACACTTCCATATTTCTGCTGGGATAATTGTCCATCTAATAGTTGGTTTTAGTTTTCTGTCAGCAAGGTCTATCAAAATTTTGAGATCAATATGTGCAAGAAGAATCAGCATCCATGGTTATTTTTGCTCATCACATTTCTCCATGAATACATATGATAAGTCTTTTCTTTTCCAGATGTTGCACCTATAGCTCCTATCAGGTTCGTCCAATGGCCATGTTGCCTGGAATTAATAGGCATTGTTTCCAAGGAAGGACATAAGTCAGGGATGGCTACATTAGAGCTTTGCTTACCTCCAGAGCTGTTGGCTTTCACAGATGATGGAGCCTCATGTTCTGGTTGGTCCACAGATTCAGGTAATTTTGCAAATAAGTCAAATGCACTATTGTCTACAGAGAGGTAAAGACGGGAAAAATATATTCAGTTAACAGTCCTTCTCTTGCTTCTCTCTCTTTTTCTTCCTAATAATTTCCAGTCTTCTTTTTCAGATCAACCAAGTGTCGATCCCTTGGTTCTGACAGGAATTAATGAATTGTTTTGTTGCCCAAGCCTGATGTGAGCTGAAAGACTGACCCAAAGATACCCAACAGGCTTTCATGCTTAAGGCGGGACTAGAACGCACGGTGTCTTGGTTTCTAGCCTTGTGCCTTAACCACTAGAGCCCAAACTGGATCTCTGCGCTTTGTTCAATTCCAGCCCTTCTCAATACTATTGAAAAGGAATGGAAGCTCAGGGGAAGCAGTAGCACTAGTATTTATGCTTATCCTTCACACACTATGAAAAGGTTGGGGGGGGGGCAGATTTATTGTCCAGTATTCCGCTTAGAAGCCAAGGGGGAAAAAGAGATATATTTCTCCTCTTCCTCTGTTACCAGTTTGTTGAATTTGGGTGTCAAGCCTGAAGTGAACCTGGCTGTGGCCATCTTTAAGGCTTCAGGGTTGCCACAAGGAAGAAGGGACAGGGAGGGGGGAAATAGCTAGCCGGAGGTTTGTAGTCAAAACAAAAGGTTTTCCTGTGGGAACCAAGGCCATTCCAACAGGTGGCTAGCAAGTGGAGGAGTGAAGTTACCATGCAACTGGCCAGCACCTCGATTGGACAATGTGACTGATGACTTGCAGGAAGGGGAAACTTTCACTTTTTAATTAGGTGAAAACCACAGGAACCATCAGAGCCAGTTTTCACCAGTTGTGCCAATATGATGTATCCAATAAATTGTTCCTTGAGGAATCTACCTGCCTCGGAGTTCTGCTTTCTTTGGGTGCATTACTTCGAATGCTGACATTGGGAGTCTTAACTGCAGAAGTGAGAGTGAGATTGTGGATGGTATCTCTTGTTTTATATTTATTTCAAAACCTAGACATCCTTACAGTAAAAAGGAAGCAGACAAAAAAGCTTGCTTAATCCCATTTGACACTCAGCGGTTTCATCTCTGTTTCTGAAGACAGCTAAAAAGATATCTAGGTGTCTTTCATTTTATTCACAGCAAGGAAGGTCACACAACTTGCCACTCAGGAACTCAGCTGGGACAATCACATGCTCCTCTTGCAAATCAATCAAACACCTTACATGGCTCACATAAAGCAGGAGAGAAATTATGGTTAGCACTTATGAAGTTAGGGGAAGGATTCTATTAATTCATCACATTGAGCGGTCTCAAAAACCGCCGGTGATTTTTTTTAAAAAAGATTCAATTTATATCTCTACAGGAGCTCAAGGTGGCACAAATGGTGTTCCCCCATCCTGTTTTTCCCCACAACATCGCTATGAGGTAGACTACGATGAGAAAGTCTTCTCAAAGTTGCTCAGTGAAGAAAGCATCGAGAAGAAGGAAAGGAGGAAGAGCTGCTACCAGGAGCACATTAAGATTTGTAACATTTGCTTACTATTGCCAATATAAGTAATCCTGACCTATATGGCATTGGTTTCTTAGCTTGATCTACCTAGTTCAGGGCTGTCAAACTCCCGGCCCACGCCCAGTTTAGCCAAGTTGGGGGGGAAAGTCCCAATATGTCATGTGATGCTGCCGTGACGACGTGAGTTTGACACCCCTGACCTAGTTGGTCTGGCACGTGGCTGAGGGCAAACTAGAACTTGTTTTCCCCTCCCGATATCTTGCCCAATACTTCAATCAGCCCACCATATTGGCTCTCTTACCAGGGGCAGAGGAATTATCCGTAGAACCTCCCCAAGGATCAGCAGCAGAAGTGACCCTTGCAGAGAGCGGAGCAGGTGGTGACTGTTTTCCCCAGGGGTCTGCCGATGAGACACCTGGAGGCAATGGTTTTATCCCCCATGGGTCAGAGGCAGAAGAGATAGGAGGAAGATTCCAGGGGCTGGAAGAAGCTTGACCAGCAGAAGAGTGGGTCAGAGGATCCTCCGAAGGTAATGGCACCCAAGGGTCTGCAGCAGGACCCCAGGATGTTCCTGTTGATTCTACAGGAGATTTGGTATCTGAAAGGAGCAAGCAGGTAGAACAGAGTCTATCAACATGGAATCTGATTTGGCCAAGAAATAGGGAATGAATCGACTAAGAAGCAGATAACTTGATGAAGTCAGGATTGAATAAAGAGTAAGCTCAACCACAGAGATGCCATTTGAGGAAAGAAATTTTCACTCATTTTATGAGCTTTAACTGATCAAATCTGCATATATATAAGAATGTATGCTAAAGTGGCGCTCAATGATCCAAAAAGCGGGCCCTGCACTTGCGGGAATACACTAGGAAGAAGTACGTATGAGAAAGGAGGAAAGTAATGTTTAGATGCTATATATCAGTCCAGCAGAAATAATGTTAGAGGGAAATTCATTGAAACTGTAAATAGAGACAGTTTTAAGATTGTAGTTGCTACAAGGTGCCTAAAGGTTGCTACAAGGTTTACTAAGGTGCCTAAAAGTACTTCAGTATTAACATTTTTAAATAAAGATTTATAAAACTCTTAACTTGTATTCATATAAATTTACGTAACATTGCAAAATGCATATAAAATCACAAAAATGAATTGAGGTATTTTTACTGCCTAGAAGATACCACAACTTAAGGCAGAATCACACAATAACAGACAATGGTTTAACATTGACCCCACCAGTTGCCCAATAGCAAGAATGGAATGGAAGAACAGAAAAGAGAAAGAAGAGAACAGGTTCAAAACTTCTTACTGTGGTCCCAAGAACTGGACAAGGATAGAGCTGAAGGAGAGAAGTCTGTGTCAACAGATCGAATAGTGCCCCCACCTGGAATATCCCATGGATCAGCAGAAGTGTGGGTAGAGGGGACTGCTGCTGGTCCAAAAATGTCTGCCAGCTCCAACACAGAAGACTTGAAAGATACAAAGGAATACCATCATTAGAGCTTGTAGTTCTGCAGTTCCTATAGAGCAGGGGTCCCCAAACCTGGCAACTTTAAGACTTGTGGACTTCAACTCCCAGAATTCTCCAGCCAGCATAGCTGACTGGAGAATTCTGAGAGCTGAAGTCCGCAAGTCTTAAAGTTGCCGGGCTTGGGGACCCCTGCTATAGAGTTTAAACAAATATGAAGAATTCATCATACAGTCAGAATATAGCCATTTTTGCAAAATATCCAAGAAATCGAACACCTCTCCTTGCTCTTCTTAGGCATGTTGCTGGCATTCCTTGGCTCTTTAGGTGCATATTCTGTTGGGTATGAATTGCCCCAGAATCAGCTCCCCACCCAAAAGATCTCATGGTGTCATCTGGGTTCCCAGATGGACGGTAGGGAATCATTAGACAAATGCAAGAAACATGAGCATTAAACTTATGAACACTGACCAAGTGCCATTCTGTGCATTCCCCTAATCCATAGCTGAAAGAAAGAACTGATTGGCTCATGCAGTGATCTCAGCCTTGTGAGGTTGGTTGCAATGAGATGGGTTCACACTGCTGCCAAATTCCTGTGGAATAGAAATGATGGTGACATTAACATGTCTGAACAATGGGTGTTTCTGGAAATAACCTTCTGCAGGGGATCACTTGCTGAATAGGCTATGGAATATAAGAACAGTTTATGCTTATCGGAGGCTGGAAACTGCCAGTCTGAACTTTGTAGGAGTAAACGACTATCAACAATAGGTCTGGTTCTAGAATAGATACACCTGTAGAGAGGAAAATTGTCTGATAATTCACCTTAACAATATTGGAGGTAGCAGCAAAATGTTCACCTGCTATATATTTGGTATTTTATTTTGCCAGCACAGTAGATGTGGATTGAAATCAAAGGAAGCAAAATAACACTATATACCAATGAAATAAAAAGCATGAAACGTAAGAATATTTCCTCATGCTACAGTGTAACCATCCATATTTCTGCAATCATCCTCTCTTCCAAAAAATTTCCATTGAGGCTTTATTGTTTGCCTTTCTAAAGTTCTTTCGGGTTGAATCCAGTTATTCTATACAACCACAATGGCAGGCATAAATAAAACCAATTTCATAAATTTTTGTAGAATTGTGGGCTCAGAGTCTGCAAAATTTGTGGCATGGCAGGATGCAGCATCTAAGTCAATATTTACATCCTCTACCAATTGCCCAGTAAGAATCTGAGCAAAAATCACGATCAATAATTTCAATTCCAAGCTACACAGTTTGCAATTCCATGCAGAGATAACACACAAGGAGTATTCATTTGCATACTTCAAAGCTGGGATTATAGCATGCCTGCGTTTGGTTTTTCATACCTGTGTTTTCTTTTCTTTATCATCAACTTCCTCAACATCCAGGTTACTTTCTTCCAATGCCTTTTGTAGCAGGGAATTTTCTCCTTTCCATGCCCTAACTTCCTGCAATCAGAAAGAACACATGCCTGAGCCAAGTGCCACAAAGTGGAATGATTATTTCCTAAAGGCAACAATCATCAGTCAGATATTACCACATGCATGTCATAGCAAACACTCTTCTAGTTTTGAAATAGAATCTAAGTTAAGAAACTCCTCAATAAGGTTAGTCTTCAGAACCATGAAAATTAAAGTTATTAATTGGAAAAGTATCAGAAGGCAGAAGAAAATGGACACAGCAGGGAGTGATGGTAGGAAGGAAGAGGTCTAGAATTCTCTCACCTAAAAATGTCACAAATTCTATGATTGTAGCAATCTTATGCATACTTTTGGGGCAATAATATCCGCTGAGCTTGGCAATGTGACTTACTGCCAGACAAATAAGCTCAGGAATGGATTTGATTAGGAAAAGAGAGGTGCTTCTTGTACATTTTCACTTTGCCCACTTGATCTGATGATCAACTCTTCAATTTAAGCAATTCCAATATGTAATATTTTTGCCATTAGGAAAAGAGCCCATAACACCTATTCTTGGGTTCTGGGGCTCTGACATTTCTCATACAAGGTGTGATTCATGTTTATAAAGGCCAACAACTTTGGTCACCTTAACACTTTCAGAATTTCAGCAAACAAATGAGATTCCAAAGCTTTTGGCAAGTTAGGCATGTGTAGAATTTCTAGACCATTGGAGACAGAACAGCCTTGTCCCAGGAAGACGATGTGAAGGTAACAGAAAGCTGCCCCATTTGAAGAGATGTGAGTTCAAGAAGAGGAAAGGTAAAGTGCCCTTTCACCACCTGGGCTTGGGGTACCTTCTCATGCTCTTGTTTGCTCAGGGTAAGCGCTATCTGTAATTGCAAATCTTCATCTGTGCTGGAGACTGGAGGAAGTGGCTGCTGATAACGAAGGAGAATTGGGTGAAAGTTTGCTCAGAGTTCTCTGCTCAATCATTTATTCTGGGTAAACAATCCACCCACCCACCCATCCCTTTACCCTTTGTGGACATATACCAAGTTGGTATTGATTTAATCTATTTTTTGTTCATTTCAGTATTGAACTAGGCAACTTAATTACTCTTTTAGCCTTCTCTGCACTGCTGCACTCCAGAAGTGTTGGATACAACTTGAATAATGCCCATCAGAGCTATAAGAATTGATCCAGCACATCTGGTAAGCATTAGATTGGCTAGTCTGTTTGTTTTTTTCATCCAGTTTGAAGTTTGTCCACTGACAGCACCAGTTCTATTTTATCAGGGGTCAGCTGAAGTTATAGGTAGTCATCAACTAAAGACCACAATTGAGCCCAAAATGTCTGTTGCTAAGTGAGCTTTGCCCCATTTTGTGACTTTTCTTACCAGAGTTGTTAAGTGAATCATTGCAGTTATTTTAGTAACCTGGTTGTTAAGTGGATATGGCTTCCTTATTGACTTTGCTTGTCAGAAGGTCGTGAAAGGGGATCGATCACATGACCTTGGGACACTGCAACCACCATAATTATATGCCCATTGCCAAACATCCAAATTTTGATCACCGGACCATGGGGATGCTGCAATAGTTGTAAGTGTGAAAAACAGTCATAAGTCACTTTTTTCAGTGCCATTATAACTTTAAAACTTTAAGTGAACTGGTGCAAGTTGAGAACAATCTGTAATTCCTTTCATTAAAAAAAACATTGATCTTTCACCTAGATATGGAATAAAGAAGAGCTAAAGTAATCAGACTAGTACTGGCAACTCAGCCCTAATCTTTGTATACTATTCCACAACTGTATTTTTTGTCTGAATTTTTGTGTGTGTGTAAAAGACTAGGAGTGTCAGACTTCACACCAAGTACAGCAACAAATGTTGCCCCTCTAGGAATTCTATCTCACTTTCAGTAACCAGATGTCTGTAGAAATTTCACAGATTTGATATGGTTGCTTACTTTAAGTTGCTATATTGCAAAATAATTGTAATAGATTACAAATGTATCTACTGCAGAATACAAGAATCATATGATAGATATAGAAATAGACACCTTATTGCTTTAGTTTCCAGCCTTTTCATCCAATCCTTTTAAGCCAACTGACTTCTGATCAATTATTTTCCTGGCTTGAGTACCGGAGTCACTTATGCCAAGAGAATCAGAAAGCTCACAGAGAACTCTAGATAACCCACTTCTTCAAAAGTGCTTGCAATGTTGTCAATGTTATTGCAAATATGTCTCTGCTGCTTTTCAATTCAAAATTCCCAGAAATTTAGAACCAGAAAGAAACAGAGACAGTTCACAAAGACATAATACGGCCCTCCATGAGACAGCAAGTGTACCTGTATATTCTGCTGCTGTTGAAATACTAAAGTCTCCAGCCAAACAGATTGGCCATCTCCCATGATCTGCCAACAGCCAAGAAGGACAAGGATTGAGGGAACAACTTTTACTTCCGCTCCAGGATTTTGTCAGGTGCTTTGTCTCGTGAGGAAATCAGCAAAAACTAATCCAAGCAACCCCGCATAGCAGTATTTAGACAGTCTGAACACCAGGTGGCACCTAAGCCAGATTTAGGCAATCTACAGGGTATCCCACTCATGAAAATGTGAGCAACTAAATAATTTTAAAAGAAATCCCCAGGGTTCACAGACGAAAGGTTGCATGTGTGATATCCCCACATGATAACAGAGACATCTGTGTATTCCCCATAAAGTCAAAAAACTTTTTTGTCCTATCAGGCCAGTGTTAAAAGCTTCATATGAAGAAACGTTCCTATTAAAATCTATAAACATGAAATAAAAAAGCAAAAAATCATAAGATAGGTGCTGTGGCATTATTGTACTTGGTGTCTTTCTACATATTTGTGGTAAGTGTAAATTTGGTGAATAACAACACTCCAGAAGATAGGCTTAAGATACACAAGGATCTCAACAAACGTGAAATTGGGCACTGTCTAACAAAATTAAATTCATTTTGAAAAAAGTAAGGTTCTACATTTAGACAAGAAAAACCAAATGCACATATATAGTATAGGTGGTTATCTGGCTCAATAGTAGTAACAGTGAGAGATATCTTGGAGTCCTAGTGGACAATCATTTAAATATGAGCCAGCAGTGTGCTGCAGCTGCCAAAAAAGCCAACACAGTCCTAGACTGCATTAACAGCAGATCATGTGAAGTGTTCATACCACTTTATAAGGCCTTGGTAAAACTGCATCCAGTTTTGGGCACACAATGTAAAAAGATGTTGATACTCTAGAAAGAGTTCAGAGAGGAAGAACAAAGATGATTAAGGGGCTGGAGGCTAAAACATAAGGAAAGATTGCTGGAATTGGATATGTCTATTTTAATGAAAAGAAGAACTGGGGTGACATGATAGCAGTGTTCCAATATCTCAGGGATGGCCGCAAAGAAAAGGGAGTCAAGCTATTCTCCTGAGGGCAGGTCAAGAAGCAATGGATGGAAACTAATAAAGGAGAGAAGCAACCTAGAAGAAATGTCCTGACTCTTAGAACAATTAATCAGTGGAACAACTTGCCTCCAGAAGTGGTGAATGTTTCAGTAGTACTGTAGATTTTTAAGAAGAGATTGGACAACCATTTGTCTGAAATGGTATAAGGTTTCGTGCCTGGGCAGGGGGGTTAGACTAGAAGACCTCCAAGGTCCCTTCCAGCTCCTGTTCTGTTCTGTTCTGGGGTAGAAGAGGGAGTTGCTGCATCCTGGAGCAGTGGCTAGCTTGCCAAGCTAATGTAACCTGAGAGCTTGCTTTGCTGGTTGCTGTGACCTCACTGTCCTTTCTCAAGCTTGAAGTTCATCAAATGTTCTAAAACTCAGTTGCCTGTAACAAGGCCAAACAGCAAGCAAACAGACTTTGGCACTGGTAGGCACAATCTGCTTTGCCCTTAACTTCAGATGAAGCATCGTCATGCTGTTGCCATAAAAGAACAAACACAGATTGTCCCCATTCATTCCAAAGAAACGGTATTGTCACACACCACCATTAACCTTATTTTCTGAAGAATTATTGCTAATTGCTAGCTTTTGTGTAAATGTTTAATTCACAAAAGGCTACCCAATGCTTGCATCCTGCTAAAGAAAAATGTTTGGCTTTGGCTTAGCATGACATTTGAATCAGCCTTTCTACTTCAGAAACTATTATTTATGACTTAGCATTATGTGCCTGATGTGACTATTTTAAACCAGGGTTTAGTGAGCTATGTCAATCTGCCAAGATTTTTGACCCAATGTAGCTTTATTCTTTCTCAGGCAATTAGCTGAAGGTAACACAAAATCAGTCCACACAGAACACACTTCAGCTGCATTCAGAGGTAAAGTTGGGGCACAAGTGAGAATATTTATCTAAAGGCTACATATTTGGTACTTTTATATCTTCATCAGTTACAAGCTAAAATCACCATCTTTGTTTTCAGCACAGTAATGAGATTCATCTGTCTGGCTTCCCACTACTGCACAAATCATTCCTGTCTCCTTTTCCCTCTGTTATGTTGCCTGCTAGCCTCCTTGAGATATAGCTTTCTGTGTCTTCCAACTGAGGCTATAAGAAAGCTATTTATACAAAACCATGTGATTAATTGATGGCCAAAGTGGAATGTGTGACCAATATAAAGCCGAATGCCAGCCACCCCATCAGCAGATACTCAGAAAAGACACAATGCTATCATGTGTTGCTAAAGATCACAAGGATTTGTCACTGCCAGACTACCCAACAGCAGGAAATTCACTAAAATCTTACTCATGGAACTCTGCCTTATTAGGAATATTTGAATCAGGCTCTTAATGGGGCCCTTGAATCAGGCCCTCTATTGCCCACACTAAGCAGCAGCCACTACCTAGAATTTCAGGGTGGAGCTTTCTATCTTTTCTGAGAACTGAACTGGGATCTGCTGGGTGACTTTGGGCCAACCACTCTCTCTCAGTCCAATCCACCTCACAGGGTTGTTGTTGTGGGGAAAATAGGAGGAGGAGGGAGGAGGATGTATGTTTGCTACCCCGAACTACAATACTTATAAAGGCAGGGAAAGAAGCGAGGGAAGGAAGGAGGGAAGAAAAGAAAGAAAAAGAAAGAAAGAAAGAAAGAAAGAAAGAAAGAAAGAAAGAAAGAAA